TATTTTTTAAATTTATACCAAATAAAAGTAATTAATTGCCAAACTGAATAATAATTTAAAAAATTTAAAATCTTTTAAAACATTTTAAATAAAAGCAATATTCCGAAATAAATATACGATCATTAATTTTGACTCGAACGATAAAAAATCACCCTCCAACTCCACTACTGAAGTAAGCTCCTTGCTAGACTGTTAAAAGTGAGCGAAGGCCGTTATATTTATTCTAGTTACATGGGCAAAAGTTACGATCATATATTTACTTAATTACGGATTATTGCTTTTATTAAAAATTTTAAAATTTTAATTTTTTTAATTGGAAAAATTTAGTCTTTGCATATCCCTGCTTCAACCCATAAGAAAGTGTTGTATATTGGTAAATAGGCCTCCCTTTGGGCAAAACTATATAAAAAAATAGATAGATAGATGTATATACGTAGGTATATACGTAGATATAATACATTTATAATGTTGTATTTACACATTCAAATTGTACAATTGTGTTATGGTGTAGTCTCAAATTATTTTGAATTCTCTCAGGAAAATTTAAACTTTTTACTATATACTAGTTACTTTTAATGACAATTTAAAAAAATTTCAATTTGATTTCATTGCGATATCGATGATGATGATTGATTAAAAAACATCAAAAAAATTATGAAAATTGGATGGAGAATTTGTTATATTGGGATGTTCGTATATGAAGCGAGTAAAATTTTAATTTAAAAGCGCTTATAAATCTACGCATATTGGCTCAGCTTGGCTTGACTCAGCTTGGAATCGAATGTTAAGCAAGGCGTGGTTTCAAACTATTTTGAATTCTCCCAGAAAAATTTGAACTGCGTGCGTATTTATGTAGCACTGATTACTGTTGCTTTTATAATGAATTTATATTTTATACATATCTTATTTATTTAATTATATAGAGTTATATAGAGTTATATATATATATATATATATATATATATATATATATATATATAAAGTGACTAGAATCCATGTATACTAATAATTAATAAGATAATGTTTATATAAAAAGCAATATAGCAGATTAAACCAGCCAATCAAAAAGTTTCGAAGGCGTTCGTTCGATGACGTCAATTTAATACGGTTTGCATTGTGGTGAAGACTGTATAATAATGTACTACATACATTAAATAAGTTTTTTTACTGATGTGAATGATTGAAATGATGAAAATGTATGGCTGAAAAGGAGTATAAATAGGAGCTGAGACAACATGAAAATCAGATCAGGCATTCTGCCTCGCTTGAAGCAGTCTGTCTGATCTCATTTATTTATTTTTTTTTATTTATTTTTTTATTTATTTTATTATATAGAGTTATATAGAGTTATATAGAGTTATATAGAGTTATATAGAGTTATATAGAGTTATATATAGTTATATAGAGTTATATAGAGTTATATAGAGTTATATAGAGTTATATAGAGTTATATAGAGTTATATAGAGTTATATAGAGTTATATAGAGTTATATAGAGTTATATAGAGTTATATAGAGTTATATAGAGTTATATAGAGTTATATAGAGTTATATAGAGTTATATAGAGTTATATAGAGTTATATAGAGTTATATAGAGTTATATAGAGTTATATAGAGTTATATAGAGTTATATAGAGTTATATAGAGTTATATAGAGTTATATAGAGTTATATAGAGTTATATAGAGTTATATAGAGTTATATAGAGTTATATAGAGTTATATAGAGCATAAATCCTATATAGATACCTTTCTTGGAGGTTCTTTTCTTTGCCGACCGGTCGGCTTCTTTGCGTTTCTTTTTTTTTCATTTTAATTAAATAAATAAGATTTTTCCATTCATTCAGGTTCATTCAGGTTCATTCATTCAGGTTTAAGCTTTCGGAGGAGTTTATTGTGGATGATCAGAATGGTTGTCATGTCACGCTACGTTCGTTCATTCAGAGGCATGAATGCAGCCCGGCTGGGGTTCGTTTTACGGTTTCTTTGCGGTTCCTTTTTTTGCCAGTTGGCTGGCTTTTCCGGCTTGCGGCTTTCACAGCGGCTCGTTTCTCTATTTTCATTTAAATTAAATTAAATAAGATTTTTTATTTTATACATTTCATTCAGGTTGAAGCTCCCAGAGGAGTTCATCATGGAAGATGTCAGGCTACGTTCGTTCATTCAGTGGCAAAGAATACACGCCTGGCTGGGATACGTTTTATTCTTTTTTCTCTGTAATTTAACATTAAGTAAGAATGCTCACACGCACTCACACACACACAATTACATTACGTAGCTATATAGGTAGGTTAGATATGTTTAATTTTAATTGTAGGTAGGATAGTAGGAGACATTCAACATTAATGTAGTTGAATAGGTAGGCGCGTAAGTTTATCGTTTCTATTTTTTTCTTGCACCCATATTACACGCATCAGCGTATTACACACACACACAAATACATGCATAAACACATATGTTAGTATTTGAGCGTTATTTTATTTTCATTACACATTCTAATTTATTATTATTAAGGTTGAGAGTAATTTAATGGGATAGGTAGTTAAGGGCAATAATGTAATTATAGGAACAATCTTGTAATGTAAATTAAAACGCTGTAAGTGTATTGATAAGTAGGTTAATTATTAAGTTTTACATTATTATTATTAGGTCGGAGCCCAAGGCATTACGTAGGTGGTGGGGTGGGTGCCGAAAGGCCAATGAATTGGGCTCTTGAGTTTTGTAATTTTAGGTAAGCTAGGGCAGTAATGTAATGAATAGGTAAGTTAAGGCTACGTTGTAACACATACTCATTAATAGATTTAGGATTTAAGTTTTATTTTATTATTACTAAGTTGGAGCCCAAGGCATTACGTAGGTGGTGGGGTGGGTGCCGATTGGCCAATGAATTGGGCTCTTGAGTTTTTTAATTTTTAGGTAAGCTAGGGCTTAATTGTAATGAATAGGTAAGTTGAGGTTACGATAGCCGATAGACTCTGAATTTCGAAGTCTGTTGTCAGAGGTAAGCCTTGGTGGCCAGTGGTGAACCGGCAATGGTTTACTATCCGGACGGCAATGGTTTACTATCTGCACGGTAATGATTTACTATGCGGCACGGCCATAGTCTACTACCCGCACGGCTTCCGGACGGCAAATGGTTTACTATCCGCACGGCAATAGTTTACTATCCGCACGGCAATGGTTTACTATCCGGTGCCCTGGCTGTCGGTGAACCTCTGTGCAAGGAGGGAGAATGAAAGGGGACTTTCGACTATCGTACCATTAACAATTTAATATATATTAGATAAGGTAATTGAATAGGTAGATAGGATTATTTTTATTAAGCAATTTGAGATGCAGGCACCGCTAAGCTTTCTGATGAGAATCTTTATCTTTCTCCATCAACACGGGCTCTGTTTCAACAACAATCTCGAGGAGGACTGGCACCAGTTTTGGAAGACAACGTAGGAACCGGACCGCATTCAACATTCTGCTTTTGTCGAATGGACGACGGTAAGTTTTTTTTTACATTTTACTCCTTTTATTATTTTAAAATACTTTTTTGCCATTATTTTCATTTCATAATTTTTGCTTCTAGGATTCTAACATTCATTTACTACTACGCTAATTCAAAAATTTTATCTACAGAATTATGAGAGGTGGGCAGAGGTGGGCGTCAGCACGTTTCAGATGGTGGTCTCATAATGATTTACACATGATGATGGTGGTGTAGGAAGAATCGTTGGCTGTTCGACTGACGCTGAAGTTCGGACGAAATCTTGTGTGCCGACCAGATGATGGTGGTCGGTGCAATGAATAAAGTAACGACAATTTTTGAAGTAAGGTTCGTCTTTTAATTGTTCTTTGTTCGTTCGTTTGTTCGTTCGTTTGTTCGTTCATTCATTTCATTCATTCATTCATTCATTCATTCATTTATTCATTCATTCATTCATTCATTCATGCATTCATTCATTCATTTTATCACTCAATCTTTCAAATTGTTTTTCCATTAATTTATTTTTTTTAATCATTAAATTATTGATTGATTACTTAATAAATTAATTCATTCACTCACTCAGGCATTCAACATACTTCCCTTGTCGAATGGACGAAAGTAAGTTTTTTTTACATTTTACTTTTTTTATTATTTTTATTTTATAATTTTTTCTTCTAAGATTGTAACATTCATTTACCACTACGCTAATTAATAAATTTGTCTACAGAATGATGAGAGGTGGGCCGTGGTGGGAGTCAGCACGTTTCAGATGGTGGTCTCATGATGATTTACGTATGAGGATGGTGGTGTAGGAAGAATCAGCTCGTTGGCTGTTCGACTGACACTCTGAAGTTCGGATGACATCTAGTAACGATTATTTTTGAAGTAAAGTTTTGTTCCGTTTATATTTTTCTCATTCATCCACACACATTTACGCACATACATCAATACAACACACATATACACAACAACCTTTCATTCGATGTCGTTGTTGTTATGTTTCTCTTCAACTTTCTATTTTCATTACCGGACTTTAATTTAAATCATAGGTAAGTTAGGGATTGAGATGAGTTGAACAATCGTAGGTAAGCTAGGGCTTAACATTAGTTAAAAAGTTTCAAGTAAAATAAAAACGCTAAAATATGTTAAATATAATACCTGAAACATTAAAATTCTTAAAACGTAGACGTACAAATTTGTAGGTAGGTTAGTTGAGTTAATCATTATAAGTAAGCTAGGGCCCTGAGAGTAATTTAATTGTAGGTAGGTGACTGACTACTATTCTTGCGACTTCTTAGTAATTTTTTGTGATGTGTTTGTTTGTTTTCATTTCACATCACCACACTAACAAAACAAACTACATTTTATTCTCGTCGTCGCCTTAAATTATACCTTTTTGAACAATCTTTTTAATAATGTCTATTTATTTAATTATTTATTTATTAAAAACTGACTGGTTTCTAGCTTTTTTAATTTGGTTATATAATTTTTGGATATTTCTTGATTTACTTTGTATATATGCATGTATAAATAATTACTGTTTGGTATGTTGATTTAGTCATTATGTTATGCTGTGAACTGTTCTTACTAAATGTTATTGTTACGTGAATCATTCTCCGAGAACTACTAAGGAGTGTTTATAATAATAATGGATAATTATTTTTTATCGGTCGATATTTTGTTATTTGTTTGTTTAAAATAAGAATTTAAAGAAAATTGACGTTTTTAAAATTTTAATTAACTGTCATTTTTCATTTTTGAATGAATTCAAATAAAAGCAACCATTGTGTTTGTCTTTCTTTACTAAAATCTCGAAATAGTTTGTAAATCTGTACGGTTAAGTGTTTGTTCGAGTTTGAACAAGCCTTGAAAATATTTTATATTTTATTTATTTTTTTTTTTTCGTTTATTTGGTTCATTCAATTTGGTTGATTGATTGGTCGATTGGTTGGTTGATTAGTTGATTGGATGAATGGTTGGTTGATTGATTGATTGATTGATATTTACAAACAATAACTGTATTTATGATAGTCTAAACCTAAAATATATATATATATATATATATATAGAGAGAGAGAGAGAGAGAGTGAATAGAATTATATTTGATAGTAAGTTTAAGCAAGATAATGTTTTAAACATTTAGTCGAATTCGATAGAGGTTATCCATATACAATATACATAGAATATATATATTCTATTATGTTCAATCAATCAATCAATTTTATATGTTATATTTTATTATATATATATATATATATGAAGTTATCAAGTTATCAAACTGTTGCGTTTCTTTTTATCAAGTTTTCCAGCTTTCTTTATCGATTTCTTATGTTCGTAATATAAATCATGTATCAAATTTCCAAGAGTAATTTTTTAAATTAATTTATTTGCTGACTCTTTAGTGTAAAATATAACATGCTTACTTATAAATATATATATATATATATGTATGTGTGTGTGTAATATAATGATATATGTAACATAGTTGAAGCCTTTGTACAGAGTGCAGTGCTGATTAAAATGCTTTAAAAGTGAGCGCTGCGTCTTTAAGTCCTTCCATCACGCGATCATTGATTTAATTTGACCGGTCTGCTCGCCCTAACTGGCCTACTATTTAAGCACTAATTTGCCGTTCTTCGTCGTACGTTAGTGAACTCTAGCTATTTTCAGACATGGCCGATGCTTTGGTAGCCCAATTAGGCAAACTGGTTGGCACGTGGAGTCTCGATAAAAGTGAAAAATTTGACGAGTACATGAAGGCTGTCGGTGCGTTGTCAGGCTGTTTTATATGTTATGTTATTAATTATTATTTATAATATTTAAATTATTTAGAGTTTTTTAGATTTATATTTTAAATTTTGCAAAAAAATACAGTTTAAAAGTTTTGTTTTATTAATATTTTTTGCAGATGTCGGATTCGTCATGAGAAAACTGGGGTCCACTGTGAAGCCAGACGTGAAGATAGGAGCAGCTGGGGACGAGGTTTTCATAAGGTCCGAATCATCAGTCAGCACTCATGAAATCAAGTTCAAGTTAGGGGAAGAGTTTGTGGAAACGACAGCTGACGGCAGAAAGCCAAAGGTCATTGCATTACTTATTTATAATAATTATTATTATTTCGGTTATTAATCATTCTGTTTATTTATTAATTTGTTTATACTAAATAACTAATAATGAAATAAAATGAAATAAATAATGTTGTAATGTGATGTAAGAGTTTTCAATTTCATCTTATATGGGTCACTCAATTCTATATTATTTTCATTTAAAACATTATATCTTTTTACTCTTTAGCTACTAAAGTCTTGCATTAAAAGTCAAAATTATTACATATATATATATATATATATATATATATATATATATGTGTGTGTGTGTGTGTGTGTGTTTGTGTGTGTATGTGTGTGTGTATGAATAGATAAGTATATTTGTGGAATCTTACAACTGCATCTTTCAGTCTACAATAGGCAAATTAGGTAGGTAACTTTACTGATTTCTAACAATTATCACGGCTAAATATTTAATAAATAGCTTTTTTTTATAATTCAATTTGACTGAAAGTAAAGGTTATGTAAATTGATTTTGTAGCTGAAATAGAATGTTAGTTGCACTAACTAAGGAGTAATTAATTTTGTGGCTCCTTGAGTTAGGGAATTTTATAAAAATGATTCATACAAACTCATATACAGGATTTGGGTTATTAGATTCTTGTGGCATAGTTTGTTTAAGATGTAGTTGGTTTCTAATTAATGTTTGAATGTCAATCCTTTGTTTAGTAAATACATGAAGCCAGACATGATGATGTTGTTGAATAGGATGATGATGTCAAACATGATGAAGGTAGCAATTCTGATAACAATGACTTCCCTAATTAGCTCCCATCAACTTCTTCTTCATCACCACCACCATCAAAATTTATCTAAATGTTTAAGATAACCCTTAGACTTAAGCAAGAACATTTATGCTACGTGTGTGTGTGTGTGTGTGTGTGTGTGTGTGTGCGTGTGGTGTGGTGTGTGTAAGTGAGTATGCGTGTGGTGTGGTGTGTGTGAGTGTGCGTGTGTTGTGTGTAAGTGAGTGTTTGAGTAGTTTCGCAACTCAAACTTTAGACCCAACAGCACTTATTTTTATTTTGAATGGGTTTGTAAGCTGTGTACATGTGCCTAGATATTCTTGTACATTGTACGTACAATTTGCACATGCATGTTGAAGTATTCAAATAAGTTGTTGTATTCCTGTAGGGCAAATGTCTTGCCGATGATGATGATGCTGATGATGATGACGCTGATGATGATGATAATGATAATGATACACAGACGGTAATAGAGTTGAAGGATGGAAAGTTGATCCAGGTCCAGAAGGGCGATGGAATTGTACCATCGACCATTACAAGAGAACTTCAAGATGACAATACACTTGTCTGTGTGAGTATTTCTACGTGTTTCTCTGTATGTGTGAGTGTCTCTACGTGTTTTTCTGTCTCTATGAGTGTTTCTATGTGTTTCTCTGTATGTGTGAGTGTTTCTTTGTTGTTTGTCGGTTAGTATTTGTGTGTGTGTGTGTGCTAGTATTTTTGGGTGTTTGTCTATTCTTTAATTCATTCTTCCACATTCTCTTCATCTATTTATTTTTGGTTGATATCATTCATTCGTTCATTCATTCGTTCATTCATTCATTCATTCGTTCATTCATTCATTCATTCGTTCGTTTATTCATTCATTCATTCATTCGTTCATTCATTCATTCATTCGTTCATTCATTCATTCATTCATTCATTCATTCATTGGAAGTTTTTTTCTCAGATCAACAATCACCACTATCTAATCTATACATTCTTATCATTATCATCGGCCATTGAGTTTCAATTCAACATCATGATGGTACACCATCAGTATTGTGGTTAGATTGAAGTTAGGGAATCTTACTACTGACATGTTTATTACACACACACACACACACACACACACACACATATATATATATATATATATATATATATATATATATACATACAGTAAGATTGATCAATCTAATTATGTTAACAGATGTTATTATCATCGTCATCATTATATTAGTAGTAGTAGTGGTGGTGGTAGTAGTAGTAGTAGTAGAAGTTGTTGTTGTTACTGTTGTTGTTGTTGTTGTTGTTGTTGTTGTTGTAATATATTGAAGTTGAAATTATTTTCAATACTTTTAAAATCTTCAGACGTGTGAGGCCAAGGATGTCGTCTGCAAGAGGTACTACAAAAGGAATGAGAAATAATACCCATCACTATCAGCATCATCAGCATCATCATCAGCGGAAATTATATAAAATTATGAACGTAATTACCATAATTATGAGGTAATTATTAAATACATTTATTTATGAAATTATGATGGGTGTAATGTTAGTGATAAATTATTTCAATGTGAAGTGCATAGCTATAATGCCATCATCTACGATTACTATTATTATTATTACTAATGTTACTATAATAATAATATAATATAATAATTATTATTATTATTTAAAATTGTTATTATTTACTTAAAAATTCCTAAGCAAACACTTCTTAAAATTCTAAAGTTCAATAGCTTAGCCTAGAGAGTTGAATGATAGATCACGCGCGCGCGCACACACACACACATACGCACACACACACACATATATACATAACACACATATACATATATATAATTATTATATATTTTATTATATAATTATATATATTTGATTCTCCCTTTGCTACCTTTAAAAGTATTTTCTCCAGTTGATGATGTATTTTTAATGATGGCGAAGAAGTTAGTTAGTTAGTTAAGTCAGGTTGTTGATGCTGGCATATTTTTGTATGTGTGTGAATGTGTGTGTGCGTGTGCGTGTGTATATGTGTATATATGATATATTTTTGGTGATGTGTGATTTTTTTTTTCTTAAACTTCCAAATGAATTTACGTGACTCTCATTTCGATCGTTGCTGATTTTTGAAGAATTATTTTAATACTAAGCGTGCTATCTCTCCATTCAGAGGTTGATTAAATATAGGTGAGATTGCGAAGATAAGAATTTTTCTTTTAAAGTTGTTCAATTATTTGATTGATCAATTAGTTAATTAATCAATTACTTAATTAATCAATTAGTTCATTAATCAGTCAGTTAATTGTTGTCTTATTGATGTTGTCACATATTTTCGACGTTTCATTGGTGTAATTTTATTTCTTTCTTTGTCCCATTAAAAATCATTCATTATTCAATGAAAAATTGGATGAGGATTTTTTTTCAATTCCAAAGTCATTTCAAAGTCAATGAAATCATTTACATATATATATATATATATATATATATATATACATATATATACATATACATATATATATATATATATTACTATGTATATTTACATATGTCTATATATATATATATATATGATATATTTATGTATATACATATAGTGTATGTATATATACATGTATGATATATATATATGTGTATATATGTATATAAATATATATATATATCTTATATAAGTAGTATTAGTAGTTTAGACTATTGATAAAAAGTATTCTTTGTTTCTATTCATTCATTTATCCAAATTTGTTTGGTTCCATCGTTCTTGTTTTATAATTAAACTTAATTATGGTTTTTATTATGAAACTTAATTATATTTATTATGCTTATAATTATGGTTTCTATACTTACAAGGTAGTTATATAATTCTAAACATACTATATGGTATGTGCAGATTTACTGGTGAGAATTTGCGTCGTTAAAGGAATTGTACTTCGACTGCTATTGCTTCTATTCGTTTGCTATTCCCTCAAAATGTTTATAGATTCAAAATTGATTTTTTTTTTAGAAAAAAATTATCTTATCTTTGTTATTTGTTGTTAATTTTATTATTATTCTTTTACTCACTCGAATATATTTAGAAAAAAAAAATAGTTGAGATAAATTCAATTCGCTATCCGAGATACTTGTGTTGTGTGTGTGTGCGTGTGTTTGTGTGTCTGTGCACAGGCAAGTGAGTTTTTGATCCCAAAATAGCGTACAACAATTTAAAAACAGGAGAAGGTTAATCAGCCATAGTAGCATGTTTATGCTGTTTCATCCGGTCTGCTTGTATGCTTGTTGTTTTATCTGTCTACGTATGTCTGTATGTTTGCTTGTTTATTTGTATGTATGTTTGCTTGTATGTGTGTTTGTTGTGTGTTTGTGTGTGTGAATTAACTTCAGCAGATTCGTAGTTTGGCACTTTAACAGTTTTGTCGGCGGGTTTGATGGGGTGTAAAATCAAATAGATTTTATTTAAAAATAGGCTCAAATTTATAATTAGGTGGGCGGTACATCGCGATAATTTTAGTGCACCCCAGATGAAGCATGCCCGATTCAATGTTCACACATTTTCTTCATCAAATGCACTGTTATCATTCACAACAAATTGGACGTCATGCCTTATGAATATACCAACACCTCCGCTTCGCTTGTCCCTTCTATTTTTATATACAAAATGTATAATATAGAGTTGTGGAAAAAAATTTGTGGAGAGTTTAGACATGATCGACACAATCAAATGCAGAACTCATATCAAGTAATGCCAAAAAAGTAACGCACTGACCGCCAATTGAAGAGAACAACTGGGAGAAAATATCCATGATTGCAGTTTCTGTGGAAAAATATTGGCGATAGCCGGAATGGTTCTTTGGCAACAAATTGTTTTTGTTTAAATGCTGTAACAATTGTTTGATAACAACTCGTTCAATGACTTTAAAAATGAATGAAAGATTAGAGATAGGACGGTAATTTGATAAAACGTTGTCGTCCAAACTTGATTTTTTTAGAAGTGGGGTTACAATAGCATGTTTCAAAGGGTTTGGAAAACTGCCAGTTGATAAACATTGGGTGACAAAATATGTCAAAAATGGCAAAAAACAAATCCATAATTTTTTTAATTATGTATGTTGGAATCAGATCAAGAGAACAAGAACTGCTAGGGGAGTCACAAACTATTTTAAGCAATTCATCTGGAGTGCACATTTGAAAAATTGGAAAGATTGACAATTGAATCAGGTAAGATAACCCTAGGAACATATTCAAACCGGACTGGTTTGTTAGTATTTTCTATAGTCGTGCTACGATTTATTGATAAAAAAAAGTACATAAATCGTTTGTGGAGAAATCATTTGATTGGTTATTATTGTGATTTTTAGATAAAATTTTGTCGAGGATATTCCGCAATTTTTTCGGTTGTTTTTTAAACGAATCAACTTGTTTAGACCAAAATTTGTTTTTTTTGGGGAATTTTTTATCGTTTCTTTAACGCTAAGCGCCATGCATTTTTATTAAAATCATTCTTCATTTTCCTATACAATCGTTCTAATTTTCGACAAATGCGTTTTAATGAACGACATTCATAGTCAAACCAAGGGGCGGATGACACATGAGTAGATTTGACATAACGACAAGGAGCAACGATATCCACAATCATCACAATTTCAGAATTAAACAAATCTAACAGGGTATCAGCGAAAGATGAATTGAACAGATCTAATAGAACATAGTGTTTATTTGAATTTATTCAAATCTAATAGTTTTCAGGGTCAACAAGGATGTTGTAGCTACGAGGCTTGACTGCAGTTGACGATGCCGTGAATCTGGATTGGTGATGGCCGGGTTGAGGTGACGAATGGTGTGATGGGTGAATTGGTGGTCATTGGCACCGGCAATGAGGACTGTACGTTAGATTGATAGATACATAATGCTTTTATATATATTCGATTATATTGTTGGTACAGCAGCTTACATTTATTATTATTGTAATTTTTTTCCTTTATTATCAATTTTTTTCAATACTGTTTCATATTATTAATGTTTTTTGGACATTTAAATTATTATCACATATTAGATATGAGCATCTGGATTTTAATCTACGCTAATTATTTGAATGTTATGATATGCTATATTGTACGTTCTTTTCAACGCTATTTTGAACATTTTTCTCAACACTATATATAACATTCATCTCAACACTTTTTTGTTCATTCTTCTCAACACTCTTTTTTACGTTCTTCTAAACACTATATTTGTAAATATTTCTCAACTCTATATTATACATTCTTCACAACACTATATTTTAAGCTTCTCTCAGCATTATATTTTTCATACTTCTCAACGCTATAATCTCAAAACTATATTGAACGTTCTTCTCAACAAATATTGAACATTCTTCTCAACAATATTTTGTACATTCTTCTCCACACTTTTTTATTTATTCTTCTTAACACTCTTTTTTACGTTCTTCTAAACAATTTATTTGTAAATATTTCTCAACACTATATTGTACATTTTTTTCATCTGGGATTAAAAAATTTTGTATTTGAAAGGTCAATAGTTGAACTGCACATGAATTTGAATTCAATACAATGCATTTCTGTAGTTAATATTAGGTAGTATCAGCGAATGAAGTAACAGAAATAATAAAATAAAAATACCTAGTACACTTCTTACATTCTTCAAGTATGTTTCATAGATTTGTTCTCTATTTACGACTAATTCACACAGACAGATCAAAAACGCCTTTGTAAAAATTATTTAATTTTTCATTTTAAACATTAAACTCTTAACTATTTTTAAATTATTACAGTTAAACTTTCACATATACTTCACAAGTAACTGTTATACAGACATACGTTATAAAGAGAATTTGTGTTTTCAAATGCATACGCTCAATATGAATTTTTCATAAAAATATATGCCAATTTAATAAAAATTTGCAACTGCATTCAATCTCTCAATAATAATAATAATAATAAAAGTAATAAAAATGAATAGAAAACCACAATAGTAGTAGTAGTAGTAGTAGTAGTAGCAGTAGTAGCAGTAGTAGTAGTAGTAGCAGTAGTAGTAGTAGTAGTAGCAGTAGTAGCAATAGTAGTAGCAATAGCGGTAGTTGCAGTAGTAAAAGTAGCAGTAGTAGTAATGGTAATAGCAATTTATCATAATTCAGCATATAATAGAACTTCTACATCATAATCATCATCATTACGTCATCGTGATCATCATCACACAGTTGATTCCTGCTTGAAGAGGCTATCGACCTTGAACTTGCTAGCATTGCTTCTCCTCTTGTTCTCATTATTGATGGACAAGTAAAGTGGTGATAATGATGACGATGGTGGTAATGATAATGATGACGACGACGATGATGCTTCTACTTTTTCGAACTTCAAATTGTTTGCCGGCTTCAAGATGGAAGATGGCGACGACGATGATGAAGCTGCTAGAGCTGCTGCGTTTGACGCTGTTGACGTTTTAGTTGGCTTTGTTGTTGATGCTGCTGATGGCTTTGATGTAGTTGTTGTTGATGTAGTAGTTGTTGTTGATGTTGTTGTTGATGTAGTAGTTGTTGTTGATGTTGTTGTTGATGTTGTTGTTGTTGATGTTGTTGTTGATGTTGTTGTTGTTGTTGTTGCGTATGACGGCAAAGAAAATTTTTTCGATACCTTCCTACTCCTACTCTTAATTATGACGTCATCAACCTCTCCATCATTATCATAACCATAACTGCTGTATTTATTTACAATTACGTTTTTACTGTTATTATTATTATTATCGTTATTATTATTATAAATATTAACATTGTCGTTATGCAGGGTTTTTGATTTTATTATCGGCTGCCTAGACAAAGCAATCGGTGGTTTATTTAACGACGGCGTCCTATAAAATTTCTTTGGCTCGATTGATGTCGTTGCATTATTTTGTTGTTTGCTAGTGTTAATGTTGTTGTTGTTGATGTTGTTGCAGTTGTTGTTGTAGTTGTTGACGTTGTCGTTAATCTCATTCAGTGCATCAACAGACATGCTGCAACTGTTTCTCAACAGTCTGCTCTCCACGTTGTAATCTCCCAAAATGTCATTGGTCGACGCATTCAAAGGAACGTTCTCATTGGTCGAGCGTTGCCCACTAAGAAGGCGGTATAAATCAGCCGACCAATCAGAGGCGTGGCTTCGTTTTTCGTAAAACAGTAAGTATGCAGAACTCGTTACAATGTTACTGACTGGCAAAGAATTGACTTTATTATCATCGTAAGAGTACCACGATAGGTTCAATGGGTGCCTACAATATGCTGTATAATGCCCGTTATGCAGGTCACCATGGTGATTGCAAACAGCAAAAAGATCGTAAATATAATCAGACGATGGCGAGGGTGACGATGGCTTACGTAGAAATGGCTTCATGTTGAGGTCTTTGACTGGGAAGTCAACTTTTGTGTGCAGTTTTACTCTGTCGTCAGCGACCTGCCGGAACCTTTTAAGTTGGATGATTAGGACAAGAGGTAGGC